TTATTATTTTGAGGGATTATTATTATTATTATTATTATTATTGTTAGTATAATTATTTGTTAATATTATTATTATTACTAGTTTACTACTACTATTATTATAATATTATTATAATAATTATTATTATTACTATTATTATTATTATTATTATTATTTATTATTATTATTATAATTATTATTATTATAATTATTATTATTACTATTATTATTATTATTAGTTTATTACTTATAAGTTATAAATTGTAAGAAACGCAAATGTTTCAAAATTGAAATTGATTCAATACGACATAGTTAATGACTTAATGAGTTAATGCACATCAATATCTGACATCTCTATATGTATATTATATATATCTGTGAGTCTGTGACTGTATATCAGTATATATAATAAACTAATAATAACTTAATAAGTAATAATACTAATAACTAATAAAGTAATGAAAATCTAACCATTGTTTTTCATGGGCATTCAATCTAACCGTTGTATATTTGATTATTCGTACATTAGTATTGCATAATGATTTCATCACCACTTTAATTAGTGATTTCGTGATTTCGTCCATTTAACTTATTAAGTTGTTTGAGTTAGTAATCTAAATAAAGTAACAAACTAAATAACGAATCCATTTAATCTCGTGTAAGTTATAATTTATAAGAAATGCAATGTTTGAAAATGGAAATTGATTCAATACGATATTGTTAATGTATATGTAATTATAGATTAATTATTATGTATATCATATCGTACGAATGTACGGTTGGTATCATTATCATACTATCATAAGTATCATTGCCTCATTGAATTATTGGTATGTACTATATCGATAAACATATTTACATATCTGATTATTAAAACTTAAAAGTTTAAAACACTTGTTGATCAATCTAATTGAATACTTGTACATTCTTAATTATCGATTTATCGTATTATAAGTATCAACTCATTAAATCATGTTCATGATTTCGTGATTTCGTCCATTTAACTTATTAAGTTGTTTGAGTTAGTAATCTAAATAAAGTAACAAACTAAATAACGAATCCATTTAATCTCGTGTAAGTTATAATTTATAAGAAATGCAATGTTTGGAAATGGAAATTGATTCAATACGATATTGTTAATGTATATGTAATTATAGATTAATTATTATGTATATCATATCGTACGAATGTACGGTTGGTATCATTATCATACTATCATAAGTATCATTGCCTCATTGAATTATTGGTATGTACTACAATCGATAAACATATTTACATATCTGATTATTAAAACTTAAAAGTTTAAAACACTTGTTGATCAATCTAATTGAATACTTGTACATTCTTAATTATCGATTTATCGTATTATAAGAATCAACTCATTAAATTATGGTCATGACGCGATCTTTAAAACAATCATGAATTCATGACCCAAATCGCTTATAAACCGAACCGACATGATCCAAACCGTTCATAAACCGAACCAATTGAACTGTGTAAACCCTCCACTAAACCGGCCCATTTCAAACTGAACCGACATGATTCGCACCGTTTATAAACCGAACAGATATTGACCCGGGTAAACCCGCCCCTAAATCGACCCATTTCAAACCAAACCGGCTTGATCCAAACCGTTTGTAAACCGAACTGACATTGACCCGGGTAAACCCGCCCCCTAAACCGACCCGTATCAAACCGAACCGACATAATCCGAATCGTTTATAAACCGACCCGCTTATGACAAACCGAATTTAAACCGCAAAGAAATAAACCGGAACCAAACCGAGCCGTGACTAACCCAAACCGAACCAAACCGACCCGCCAGCTAAACTAAACCGTTTCAATCCGAACCGCTCCAAACCGAAATCGACTCAAACCGAGGTCAAACCGAACCGCCAGACCGAAGTCCCACCCCTAGCTGGGTCTTTATACGATCGTCCAATTATGGGACAGGGCGGGTCTTATAAGGGTTTAAAGTAAAAATTTCTTTATATGATCGTCCAATTATGGGACGGGGCGGATCTTATAAGGGTTTAAAGTAAACCTATTTTTGAAAAGTACAAGTATTAGTTAAAATTTAACACTTCCATTTCTCAAATACTATCTTCACACACCAAAGCTTGTATAAATTATTTGTAAGTTTTTATGGTTTTTTCTTAAAAATTTTGAAAACAACTAAAATTACATTAATTAAACCGAGTTTACAACAAACGAAAAGAAAGTATGGTAACATAAGTCAATTACAAGTTATCATGTGTTAAAGGTGGTTAAGATGAGTTTTCCTAAAAAAAAAGTGGTTAGGATGACTTTTTTGTCGTGACCTTTATACTATGCAATTGTATAAGTACTGTTACCTCTGCGATTTTAACATCAACTTATAGTCACCTACATTTTATATTGAATGCAGTTGCAGACTACTAAGTGTAAAATTGTATGAGTTGGTTAGTGATTTGTGTAAAACGGTAAATTATTAGTGAATAACTTTAGAAGTGACAGCTTTAATACTTTTTTTTTTTTTTAAAAAAAAAACATTCATCAAGTGCCATTAAAATACTATATCAACCGAAGAAATTTCCAAGATGCGAGGTGGGATTACATCACTCCACACCCGTTGGCCAAACTTCCAAGGTTGAAGGTGAGCCAATTCATGTGCGACATTATTACCCCCTCGCTTTACAAAAGACCATGAACACTGGTAAAATTAGAAGAAAAAAAAATCTAGAATATCCTCTATAATCAGATGAAAGGAACTGGAGCCATACAAACGCTTCCTCTGTGCCTCAATCACCACCAGATTATCACTCTCGATCTCAATGTAGCTCATACCCTAATGTCTCGCAATCTTCATGCCCCAAAATACCGCTTTTACCTCCACAATCTTAGTCTCCCATTTCTCACTCCACTGCACCGTAGCTCCCCAAAGCACCACCCCCTCACTATTCCTGCAAATTGCACCCAGCCCCGTCCCCACCTCCCCCTAAACACCAGCATCAATAATAATTTTAACCACACCAGATGAGACCAGCCCATCGAGACACTCTTTCCACCCCCTCCATTCCCCATGTTATTCAACTTTCTCACCTCACGCGCCCTCCCTATTAATCTTCAAAGCATAGGCAACAATTTGCTCAACATTCGGATTTTCACCCTCAATCATCCATTTGTTCCTTGAGCCGTAAATAGCCCAGCAGAGTACATGAAAGTTAAATTACCCATATCCTCTTCCCCAAAATTACCAAAACAGTGCTCCCACCAGTCAACTATACTACAAAAGAGTGAGACAACACCCTAGAATAATCGCACTTACTCCAAATTGCTCAGGCTAAGCTGCAATCTTTTTAACTCATGCATGACATATTCTTCATCTCTCTTGCAAAATGCTAGTAGCTAACTGTTAGGGTAAAAAGTAACTACAAAAGAAATTAGCTTAAAAATCTTATGTGGCCTAAAAAGCTAGCTTGCTAATTAGCTTACCATTGGAGCTGCTCTAATACTCCATCCATTCCTTTATTGGATACGTTTTGACTTTACACCCTAGTCGGCGATCCCAACCAATCTAGCGAACACCCAACCAAACCTTAACCTTTACTCTCGAACCCCACTTATGTGGCGAACTCACACCCAAACCCCAACCCTTACTCTCGAACCCCACTTATGCGGTGATCTCCCATCAAACCCCACCCTAGCCGATCGATTGAACCCACACAACCCTCACCCACCCTAGTCGGCACGAAGTTATGACCATCCAACCCTCCACACCAAACCCGACACCCTAATCTTTTTAAAAAATTATTTGGTATTTCAAAATTAATTTTTTGTATTTAAAGTTAATATTAAGCTTTATTTTGTATTTAATGAAGTCAATTCTAATTTAATTGATAGTTAATTATGGTATATGTCAATTGATGACTTATTTGACCGGTCACAGGTATCAATGTTAGACTTATTTTTGAATTTATTAAAGTTAAATTAATATTGGAAGACCACCTAATGTTCGACTTATTGTGGTTAAATTTTCCTTTATTTTATTATATTAGACTTTCTTTTTACTAATAGTTCATATGTATATGCATTTCTATTTTACACAAATATCTTCCATACGAGAATGACGAAAAAGGAAAAAAAAAGAATGATGCATTATCATACCAAGAATCAACACGCCTTATTTTATAAGTGTGTCTTTAAGTATATAGTTATTGAAATATATACTTATAGATTATTGATTGGTTATTATTTATTTATGATTAATAGTTATTTATTTAAGTAAAAATTATATAAATAAAATATTTAATTATATTTTTTCTAACGGATAAATCACAAAAGAAGGTCAAATAAGGAGTGTGAATAGTGAAAAAGTCCAAATGCTGCAATTAAAAGAATGGAGAAAGTATTTAACAATTTATATAGAATTATTTACGAATTAACAAATACATAACTATTTAAAAATTATAAAAATAAATGATTTATTCAATTATCATTTTACCCCAAGTCTCCAAAATGTCAAAAACGACCCTCTCAACAATATTACAACTTAGCTAAATAATTTTACAACTTCAAGCATTCAATCAACAATTTAACGACTTGAAAAATTAAAAACAGAAAATCGCCCAAAGAATGGAGAGAGTTGAGACTGCAGCTGACCTGCTATAGTAGTGACGAACAAACGAAGACTGTGTCGTTCGCCGGCCATCGTTAGAAGCAGAGAACGACGACTGTATAATTCTACGATGAGAGTGAGGAGAGAGAAACAAGTTAGGGTCTTCCTCTTCGATGCTCTGTATAATTAATGAGGGAGTTTTAAAACAAAAACTCAAACTTTAAATTGTAGCAACTCACATTTTCTTCTTAAATTTTGTCAATTAATTTGTCTATTTATCTATTTTAATAATATACATATACTTACTTTGACTATATTAGTTAAGGTGTCACACTTATTATAACACTGAGTATATATTTTTAAATTGTGTGTCAAAGTAGTGAGTTGTTAAAAATAAAAAAAAAAATGAAAAAAAAAAAAAAAAAAAAAGCAAAGAAATTTTTATTTTTTTATTTTTTCTCGGTATTAACAAACCATGTAAACACACGGGCCAAAAGGCTTGCATACTTTTTCTATATTGTCAATGACATCTTATAGACAGACTAATACGAAGCATTAACGAGTAAATAGCTAGTATTATTCCCAGCAATGACATAACACTGGAAATATATCTATACATCAACCATTAATCCAGAGTACTATAAATCTAGAACTTAGGTACTGTTCAATGCAGGAGAACTGGAAATTCCTGTGAGCGACCACTTTAGTTAACAACAAAAATATATGGTTGTAGAAAATTTTCTAGGACCTACTTAACTTATCAATTAGCTTACAAAATTTTTCTTTAAGCCCTTCTTTTTAATTCAACTACTCTCAGAGAACCTTAAAGGACCTATTCAATGCCTTCAAGATCTCAAAAACACCGATCAATTACATGATCTTCAAGTAATATTTTTCCCGAGCAGAAGGGCAAAAATGTCAAAATTAGTATTGAATAAAAAAATTATGAGGGAACCCAAAAAATGTTTAGGAGTGTAAAATACTGCAATTAGTGTTGGATCAGTTTCGAGCCCAATGCTTGTATAGGGCAATTCCTAGTCCACCAAAAGCTAATGAACAGGCCACAGCCATAGAAAGGCTGATGGGTTCAGCATCAGCTGCCATGTTCCTTTTTCCCTTATTTCTTCCTCGACGAGTCTTCTCCCTCTCTCCCAAGTTCTCTCGAAAAAGAGTGCAAAGATTTTCCAATTGATGCATAATTTGTCGCTGTCCTCGTGCAATTCCGTGTAGCTGAAGATAAAAAGGACAACAAACCAGATTACAAAAATATCATGTGAGCCAGAAAAGTGTTGACAGAAGCATTTTCATTTCAAGTCTAACCTTACTTAGCATGTAATGCATTTTATGCAAACACAAATTTAACAAAAATGTTCTCCATAAGGTACTTTCATATAGGTTGATGAAGAATTGCTCCACATTTTTACAAAACAAAAATTCATTTACACAAGGAATGGATGGTAGGTAACATGTGACATTAAAATCAAAAAATTGTTCAAAAGAACTTGAACCAATTGTCACTTAAAATCTGACACAAAGAAAAGAAGAGGGGGAAAGATGCACAACTATTCCGACTGTAGAACAAAACAGAATAAAAAAAAAAAAGCCATCAACATCATTTAAAGATACTAACCCATAATTAGTAATGATTAAAAAAATAAAAAAAAAATAAAAAATAAAAAAAAAAAGAGCTTACCCAGCAGAACAGGAATCTGCAGATAAAAAGCTGAAAAGCACAAGGGATAGCCAACTTACCTCATCTATTAAAGGTGACTCTTTATTCAACTGGGAAGATGATGAGATACTCGGCAAAATAGAGCCAGTCAAGGAGCCATTGCTCAAGCCAGATACAAAATAAGATGTTGGGGCAGAGCCATTGCAGGTTTCAGACTGCAGAATCATATTTTGCTGGCTGGGAGACAATTTCTTGACCATCAATTTAGAGCTCAGCTCTTCAATCCTTGATGTAAATTCGTCCATCCGATCATTTAATGTTGATATCTGATCTGACAGTTGTGTAGCAACACCCTAAAAGACATGTCAATCAACAAGAATTATAATGTAAGAAAATACAATTAAGTTGCGGAATAATATCAGGCTAATTGACCATTACTTATAAAAACTTCACGCATCCACAAACCTTATTTTCCAAAGTTGCCACTGACTCACAATTTCTCTCATCATATCTTCTGGTACCCACATCATACTTCGAAGAATTCTTGTCTCTTTGATTAGAGTATGAGCGTGACATACCACTGCACCAATGTTGAATTTTGCGTTAGTAAAAAATGGCCATGCTTTCTTAGCTAACAGAAAGAGCAAAGTCCATAATACAAATCCATCAATTGTCCTTCCCCCCCCCCCCCTCCCCCTCTCCCTCCGTCCCATATTATGAAGCATATCGCTCTTACAGAAAGTAAATGCTGTGTTCAGCTTCGACAATCTCTATCAGTCTATCAACAAGAAAATTGCTAGAAAACTCTTCATTTATAATTATTTCCTAATCAATGCTTCATAGGTCACAGAATAGTATTAATACAAAAATTGACAACAAATGTCCAATGGGCATATAATAAAAAGGTGATTTGCGTTTGATTCCATTTACAGGTTGCAGATTCGGTTTTGGTACACAGCCTAAAACAGTTGGTAGTAATAAAAATTATATTTTCACCCACAGAAAAAAGCGAGAAAGTCCGTAAGATGCACAATGGTCAAAACTCCAAAGTCTGTTACCCCTTACTAAATATTTCAATGTAAGTGTCTATCCAATAGACCATAGAGTACACTGGTTCTAAGTAATTGCTTTGTATTTTGGAGCTTATAATTAACCTATAATGCATTCATAAACATTCAGACGCAACTTTGGTAGTTTTCAAAAGTTTCAGCTTTTTTCCTAAAGCATTATTATCTCCCCTGTTATAAAACCCTTTGGCTCGTGTCAGACTTAAATTTAGCTTTAGTCCTGGATCTGCATTTTGCAGCCCCAAAAACCTCGTGAATATTCAAGCCAAAAAAAAAAAAAAAAAAACTAAATACAATTGTGACACTAAAGCAGTCATCTGAACTGGTAATAACAAAACCATTTGACCCAAAGAAAGTAATCTTGACAAGGCGAGAATGGCTGATAATTGATAGCAAAAACTCAGCACAATCTACATGCCTTAAGACTGTTAATAGTAACTGAGTCAGCAATTTTATTAGTAGCAGCAACATCTCACCCTCCCTCCTCATCCCTCTCTCCCCAACACACACAAAATGCAAAGAGAAAAAAATGGAAGGCTATGTAGACATAAATGCATGAGAAAGAAAACTCCCAAGAAATCACAATAAGCAAGTAATAAAACTGTTTAGGTGAAGCATTTATCAACACATACACCAGGATGAGCAACATTTTTTAAGAAAATATACCACACCTTTTAAGGTTCTTGTGCCTCCATGCAATCCTATCAGCAGATGCTCGAGATAGGGCTTCTTGGGGACTAGAAACCCAATCATCATCTAGGCTGAGCTTTGTTTTTAAATCTTCTGGTAGTGCCTTAAAGATGCACAGACCAAACTTAAAACCTAGCAACATATTAAAAGAAATACATAACACGACTAGTATTTCCATACCATGACTTCTTTCACAAGCTTCTCAAGTTGAATTTGCTCAATGTAAGTGCGAGGAATGTAGGATCCTTCCAATCCCAGCTGCTCAGCAATAGATCTTACAAGCAAGCGATCTCTTCCTTGCACCTTAACAGATAATAAAACAAAACTCTAAACAAAAATCCTCACATAAAACATCCAATTGAGCTGAGAAGCAATATTTATGTGTACCCAGTTAGGGTTCAGTTCAAGCTTATTTAAGCAAATATTTCCTTATTTCAGAATAATCAGACCATACCATATCAGATTTTTTATTTTTATTTGCAAATACTTATCACTAAATATCTTTAATATACATTAATACGAATCTAATGACATCTCATTTGATTATCGTAAGGAATAAGGATTAACGTACAAATAAGATCCAAGTTTAGTCTAATTTGGAAATCAAATCAAATGAGAATTTCAGACTATATATATCTACATATTTTAAGTATCAGTAACGATATTATATCTATCTATCTATCTACAAATTCAAATTCGGCTTTGTTGATCTATCACGTATATATATATATAATAAAAAATAAAATAAAAAATAAAAAAACCCACTCATATATGTTTATATGTACATGTGGTTTAGAGGCTTTTACCACCTTTTAAATTATATAGAATTCCTCAAGATAATAGTTGATGAATGTCTAAACTCTAAAGTAACAATTTAGTTTCAAAACAAGATATGTTAATTCCATTGAGTTGGGAATTACTTATTAATCTTGGTTAGTACAATGAAGAGTTGAGATAGCCTTTTATATTAATTAAAAAGAACATCAAATAAAACAGAAACTCATTCAGAAAGTTGGTAGTCAGGGAAAGACATTTATAGTAGTAAAAAAGAATACGAATATTTTATTAGACAGTACCTGGATATACTGACGATTGAGTTGTTCCAACCAATCAATCTTCACAGTCACCCTACCATCCGTGAACACATGGCTGTTTCTTTTGAGAATAGTTGCTATTGTATATCCCAGGGCCATGAGCCCACCAAGAAGACGCACGCTGACTTCAAATGTTATCCTAGGTGATATGATGAATGGATTTTCTTTTAATACTTCCTGAAGTATCCAACTATCTCATCAGAAAATACATTTAAAAAAGATTACAATCCCCCAAATTCAACATTTTCTTTACAATTAGAAGAGAAAACACAAAGAATTTCAATAATGACACATACAAAAGTCACTTTATTCTATTATTTCACAAATCAATTGAATTTCAAACGGTCAGAAAGTCCAGGACACAAATAAAATTTTAAGGTGGACCAGAAACTAAACTTAAGATGAAATCTAAATCAGAGAATCATAAGTCCTATGAGGAATAGAGGATGACAAAAGTGAACCCAGCTCGCTTGCCAGACAACCATATCCGAACTTATATCTATGTAAAAGTGTGTTGCATCAAGTACTCAATGTTTCTTGACTGTCCTCAACCCTTCTTCTTACGCATTTGAAAATTCTACACATCCTTTTAGCAGGCCGTTAACACCAAAGATACAATCCCATAACCAATGCTTTTGTTTTCAGGATCACATAATTTAACTAATTTACTTCACATTATATGCGTAAAATAATCATGTAGTCTGGTATACCCTGTAAAATGCTCATTTTCACTTCCCTAAAATTAATGATAAATTTAAGCGAGACAACAGAAGAGCTAGAAAAAAAACAAAAGAATTCAGGTTCACTTTGATGCTTCATCTCATCTTTTTGGTTTTGTTTTTTCCACTTCTTTTGACTGCAACGGTACATAGCCATCTATCTTAATGTCTTTCCAAGGGTAACCCAATCAATATAACACAATAGCAATATTGTCTACATTACAGCTGAGATAAACAGAGGCAAGTAGATGTGGAAAAAGAGGAGTACAAGCCTATGCAAAAAATGCACATATGTCCATACTCAATACATAGGCCGTATTTGCAATCATCTTCAGTTTGACTCCTATTCCTGTATTATGATATAAGTTCTCATGTCTGTGCCAGAATTATGTCTTTTGCCAAAAATGTATTAAAGACAAACCCACCATGCAAGGTCTTAAGCCACATCCCTAATGACCAGCAAGAAATAGAATCTACAACTATCTAACTGTCTCCAGCACAAGAAATATATTTCCGGTCAGGTTATATCACTTTTCCCAGTTCCTCTCATCAGTTTGTACTTCCAAATTGATTAATGCCAAGCAAGGTACTTTTGAATTTTATAAAGAGACATTCGTAAAGTGATGTAAATCGAGTAACCCTTTCTCACAAGTATCTTTATTGCTTTATTTAGGTACTCTCTTGGTTTTACCTTACTCTTAAAGTGGGGGTTTTACAAGTGAGTTTTTATTAATGTTTTTAGTTATTGTCTTCGTACTAGTTATGGGGCCTTGGGCTACCAAAGTTGAGTTGATTAGTTAGTGGGCTATCTTGGTTCATTAATTAATTATTAGATCTTTTTATTTAGTTTTCTTGTGGAGCAAGTAGGGTAGATTTATTTTTCCTATATATACTAGTTGTATGTCAATTATTTTAGTAGAATGTTTTATGAATTAAAGTTGAGATTTATGAGCTTTTGCTTAAGAGAACTTTGTTAAGGTTCAAACTAGTTGTTAACTAGGGTTTTCGAATCGTTGCTCCGAAGATCAAACTTAGAAGTCATTGCCTTCTAAGACTATCTTTCGAATTTCCACCATTAAAATCACTCAAATCCTTGCATCAAACAAAAAGTCAAAAATACGCATCAAAAAGTAAGAAATTCAATAGCTAAAATGAACTTTATTTAATCCATATAGTCATTGCAGTTCATATAGGGTGAGAAAATAGGGGAAAAAAAACAATAGAAAAAGATCACATAACTCTTCAAGTGACACCTAGTGCACATGACTTGAAACAGTATTCAGTTTTCCAAATTAACATGCCACCTTATATACTTTTAACATCTTCACAAGTGTTTCATAATTTCACACAAGACATAGGTCACCAATATTAAGATAAATAGGTTGGAATAACAGACCTCAAACATAAGATTGTATTTTCCATCTTTATTTCTCATTCTAAGATATGATTGGCATGATTCCGGATCTTCACCAGGCGGTAGAAGATATATATCATAGGTCTGCTCAACAGACTCCTTCAGATTCTCGGCCAAAACAGTTTTAATAAGATCTTCTGAAATAGACTTCAACGACTGTAGAAAGGGAAAGGCTTAAGTGATTAACATACAGCAGTATAAATATATCCAGGCATTGCCTAAGTCCAGCATCGCAGTATGTCAATAGTCAACTGCTAAGTAGGATTTACCTTTAAGATAAAGGTAGCATTCTCAAATCCAGTAAATGGATTGAATTTGTTTTCAATCTTTATATGTGCTGTTTCTAAATCTGGCTCGATAAAAGCCTTATACATTGGATAGACCTGTACAGGAAGACATTAATACTTCAGAATGCAGGGTCTTTACAGATTTTTAAATAGGTGCAATATAAAGGCAGAGTAAACAAACTGTTTCAGATATTTGCTGGATGATCTCCTCTGGTTCTTGGTCAGCACGTTGTATATCTCTTAAAACTCGTTTAACAAGGTCATTGTGAACTCCACCAGTCACAGAGACCCGTAGGTCTACTAAAGGACGCAGTTTTTCACTTAAAGCATATATGCCCTCGATTATCACAATGCGCGAGCTAGGAGCTTCAACTGTCCTGCATTAATTTGCATCTTTATGAGTTTTGATACATGAACAGCCAAGAACTTGGGGGAATGGAGAGGAAAGTGCCACATCATGATATAAGTGTATCAACTACAAGTCCAAGCCTTCGAATAGCAATTAGAGGCATCAATAGTGAAGCAGAAGGCAAATGTAACTAGTACACTTAAAGAAAAGATGACTCTCTTATGAGATATTTCATGTTGAAGCAATAGTATATTAAACAAATAAAGTAATCTGTAAACAAAGGAGATGTAGATGCAATTACACAGCTTGATGTATTTCCACTGAAAGTGATTTGGCGAATAAAGATTATGTCATGTTTTTCTACAAATTTTTCACTTGAATCATACAACAACCTCAGACAGGATAAACTAAGCCCCCATTTTTATTAAATGCTAATTATGTTCCCTTACCAATTGAGAAGCTTAAAATTTAAGAGAAATTATTGCACTTTTTTTATCTGATATGAAACTCAAGTTAATTATAAAAGTAGAAGAAAAAAAAATTTAAAAAAATTGTTGGCATGATATCACAACAGAACATACACTAAACATCGGAAGATTGATCATATAAGGGTTTATTATAGGATCACTGGTTGGAAGCCTGAATATATATTTAAAAAACCACAGTTCTCAAAAATCCTGCCATAAGAGTAACAGGTTATCTAGACCCAAAAAAAAGTCTTAGAAAAGAACCTGTATCCTACACGGGAGCTTGTTTTGAAATCATAGATGGGCACCTGGGCTGCCTTTCCAGCCTTAAGGTCATTTATATTCTGAAGCAATGTATCAAAATCTGTCAAACGTGGATCTGTTCATGAAAAATACCCACGTAAGAACAAAGACAAGTGTCAACCAGCTAGTCCCGACTACAGAGCAAAATGTTTGTCAATGCTAAAAACATAATTAATAATGTGACAAATTGGAAGTCATTGAAGACTGACAGCCACAAAAGTTAACATCACCACTGATTGTCCTCCAAATATATGTCGATATGCACAGAGTAGATCATACAAGAGGTCTAAAACTAAAATTTACTCTAATACTTTGCTATTACCAATAGGTTCTCTATGTTTGTCTGCAGACTGTATTTTTCAACACACAACACGCACAGAAAAGAAAGATCTTACCAGAGGTCTAGAACTAAAATTCACACTAATACTTAGCTATCTAAAGCAAATTGCAAGCAATCTTCCCCCCTCCCTCTAATGTAAACCAAGAGTTGCAATGTTGAGCCATGTCAAATTCTGTTTCTACCTATGCTACATCAACTTACATCTTCCCAAGATCCCAATTATACATATCCCAGAGGGATCAGGTTGTAATCATTTTCAGGATTTTTAACAAATTTAAACCAGCATCCCATACAGTCCCCAATAAAGGGGTGTTCAAGATCATGTCAGACAGACAGAAAGTATTGGTTCACTACACATGACACCATATGAACAATATGCTCATAGTATATTCTATTTCGTGCAGGGATAGAAGAACAAAATGGTACGCAGAAACATAATGCAGCAAAGAACCGACAAACTAATCAAGATCAATGTATTGCAACAAAACAAGATGAGATGAGCCAAAATTTTATTCAACACCCAGTCAAATAGTGTCTAGTATTATGGATGGAGATGGTAACTCACCTGGAAACCGTATTCGCTGAGGAGGCATATATTATCAGCATAAAATGATTACTAAGAACAAGATGCATTCTAAGCACATGGAAAACTAAGACATCCAAAGAACTTAATCAAGCATTTGTTAATAAGTTATTCACCTTTCATAACTTATGTAGGTATTTCATGGAAATAGTGGAAAAAAATATTACCATCGAAATTGCCATCAACTATTCGACTAGCATCATTGTAATTGTCCATTGATATGACAACAATGCTTGGCATAAAGTTCAGAATTTTCTCAGTAAAAACAGTTTTGCCAGCTCCAGATGGACCAGCTAATCCGACTAGGGTTATTCCTTCATTTTTTTGAGCCAGCAATTGGCATGCACGAATAACCACAAAAAATCCTTTCTCAAATGATAATGATGCCTTAATTGGAACAATCTCATAACGGCCAATATCTTTTCTCTTGCTTAATCGAACTTGATCCTTTAACAAGCCTGCCTTTCTATGATGTGACCCAGTATTAGAACCATCCTCAGCCATTGACATAATCAAATTTTCCTGCAATCCTGAGATAATTACAAAATGACACACACATCCAAAATTGAATATATTATATGAATAACAATCTTGGTTGCCCACATACGAAAAATGTGAATTAAAAATAATATCACCATTTATAGCATGCTTAATGAGAATACAACTAATTGTAAAACCAGCTTCATCACTCATCAGCTAATACTTTGCTAGCAATAAATCTAAGCAACCACCAAATCAACAATATTCTTCCTAGATTGCTTTTGGCATTACAAAATATTATAATTTCGCGCTATTTCTGCACCGATACCTCAGATCATCCACAAAGCTCAGAGATAAACAATAGAGAACCGGTGCATACATGTTATGACCTCGGAACAATGCAGAACAAGCTGCACATCATGATACCCAAACAATTAAATAAACACAAATTTACATATAACAAACAACAACATACCAACTAGACTACTTGCAACAACAACAATAACAACAGCAAATGATCACCAAAACCAACATTCTACTAATCAGGCTGTTGTGATAACCACATTTAAATGTCTAAAATAAATCTAAATGATCTTATATTACCAAAACACAAAACTAATGATCACCCAGATGAAATTTGACCAAAATAAACACACCCAGATGCATAAAATTCACAATTATTGGAATTATCAGCTAAAAACATAAAAATAAGCCAGCTTCAAATACAAAATAAGGATCTAAAAAACTCCAAAAATCCATTAAAAAAATATTAAAAATTAAAAGCATACCCAAATAATATAATGAAGTAATGAACAAAACCCAGATTATAAAAATTACAAATTCAAGCGAAAATTTACTTACCAAAGTAGGGATATTCACTAGCAAGTCAAGTTGTGTTCACAAAATTAATCTCGGGATTTGGGCTTTTATTATTTTATTTTTTTTTCTAAGAGAAAAAAAAAAATGATATTGTGAGATATTTCTGCAAAAAAAAAATCTATAAATTAATGCCGAAAAAATTCTGTTAAGTAAATGACTGAGGAAAGAGAGGCAAAAAGGGTGGAGAATTTGGGCTTTGAATGCCGAAGAGGCGAGAGAAAAAATTAAGCCTATTTAAAGCGTTGGTGTAAATAATCAAAAATAAAAAAGAATCTTTTTTTTTTTTTTTTTTTTTTTTTTTTTTGAAATCCAATAAAATCTGTACTTTTTATATTTGAAAAATAATAAATTTAATTTATTTGGTGAGTTAAATATTGCTTTTTTGGGGAGTTTATTAAATTTTTAATAAAAAATATGAGTGTTGATGTTTCAGCATTTCATAGGAGGAAGGACATCGTGAAGCTATCAATTAAGAGTTGAGAATCAAGGGCGGTTGGGTTACGTGGAACAATAATAAATGTGCAATTCTTGTATTTTTTAGGTTTATTTTTGTTTTCTTTCTATACATGGAAATATATGATTTTGTGCCTTAAGGTTTTGTTATCCATACATCTTGGGGAGAGGGAGTAGATGAGTGATCTCAATAACTAGGGCATTTTAAAAGGTACAATATATTTAACGTATACGATATCTCGAGTTTAGCTAATTAGAGAGTGGAAGTAACAAATTGGTGGCTTTAAAAATATCTATATGTGCATATAATTCACAAATTTATATGATAAAAAATTTTATTATTGGATGTACGTACTTGTAATTATCTTACTTTGACACAGTAAGCCTTAATTGGAATAAGATTATCTAGAATATCTTGGATTTATATTGATTTTAAGGTTTCCAAAAATTATTTTTATTGATTTGATGAGGGAAAAAAAAAAGTCTCAAAACATATATATTTTTATAATAAAAATTCCACCATCTACCATTTTGTACAAATAGTTCGTTATAGATTGATCAAATACTCATAATTTGGAAAATTCCACCTATTTGTTTGGAAAATATTTTGTTTTGTTTCATCATTTTTTCTTGTGGCAATGACAAGGCAAAGGATGATGAGTAAGAAGGAGAAGAAAAGGTTTTGAAGGTAACTTAAAAAGGTGAGAATTTTGTGAAATCTACCATAATATAATATTTTGTAATTGAACCTGTCTAGATTAAATTTTGTTTTGTTATCATCTTGATTGAATTGTCAAAGGCATCTGTTATCCACACAAAAGGAGGTAAATAAGAATTCTTTCAACATTGGTTGATGCAGGGAGATTCAACGTCGCCGTGCCCATTGAAAATCAAATTTACATCCATGACCCAGTAAATTCAAGCCTTCTGAATTCACAAGTTGTGCATGAGTTGAAAGAGTTGAGTTAACAGACAGTAGATTAACAAAAGGAGTAGCATAGCAGTTATTAATGATCATATAGATATAGTTAAATACAACATGACCCAGGCATTGTAGGTTCAAAATTTTAACATCTTGTACACATTTCTGATTTCATACTGAATTGATTCCGAGCATTGAATTAAACTCTTGAACTTAGTCACAAAACATGACCACAAGGTCCAGTTAACACCGAAAACTCATTCAGTGTGGCTCAATGAGTTAACAAACCTGCAGTTGTTCCGAACTTCTCCATTGACAAAACTATCAGCATTAGTAATATTTCCCATCTTTACCATAGATTCAGCGAACTGCTTGAAAAACTGTAAGGGATCTTCAGCATATTTTCGCATAAGGTACTTGGTTTGGATCCCAAACATGCTCGAATACATTTCTTGATCCGAGTTCAGGAGCCCCTGACCTTTTAGCAGGATCTGATAGTATGAGTTGTCGAAAAGATCAGGAGTTTCGTAATCTAATGCTGATACATTATTGTTGTTACCCCCAACTGCAGGACAAACAGATCTTAGGTTGCTAAGGTGAGCCTCTGACAGAGGGTCTTTTTCTGATGTCAAATCGAAGTCTCCATAGATTCTTGCCCTGAAATTCTCACATCGTGCCATTCCGATGGTGTGAGCACCTACAGATTCAATGCATAGCAGTAGCAATTCATAAGCTATCATGATCAAATTTCAACTTATTATGTTGTTTGGGATCTTTAACCAAATAATTTGTAAAATACATTGTTACTAGTAATTAGCAGGCAGTAGTACACAGGGAATGTATCGCACTATTCAAAGTTCGAACTAACCTGAGAGGGCTACCATATCAGTGACAGACAGACCCTGATAAGCGAACTTTGAGATGAGGGAAAGAAGGCCTTCGTTAGCACCAGGAATGTTAGCCTCGGCTAGTTCAGGGTTTGTACTTCGAGCATCCTTTCTTCCCAATGGAACATCCCAATACGGCCCTCCAACCTTCAGAAAACAGCACAATGATATTAAAAACTAATTTTCCAAAGAAATGAACTAGTCACAAACTCTCAATTATCAGTATATTGTGATATAAATTTGTAAGCTTTTATCACTTTTACTAAATCAGTTACCAAAATAACCGCATCCCTAGCTGCAAGAGTGAGGATATCAGCACAAGAAACAACTCCGGGACACTCAGACTCCACCATCATCTTAATCCTATCCATAATCTTAAACCCTCTTAAGGAATGCTTATTTTGACTAGCTTTCTTTTCTCCTTTAAATGTCAAGGTATCATCCAATAGCACTGATCCATCGCACCCCTGTAACCAAATTCACAACACAAAGTCCATCCATACATTATTAATTTTCATCAAACTTGAACATAATATTTAGTTTATAAAAATTCAAATCAAAGGTGCTCGAATCTAGACCAACCTGGACAAAGCAATCATGCATGTGTAACCGTACTATAGTAGCTGCATTACGAGGGTCAGAAAGAACAGCACATTCCATTTCTTTCCTTACAATACTAAGCAATCGAGGACACGTAGACTTGTAATATTCCAATGTTAAAGGAGGGCTAGATGTATCAGCACTAATCAAGCTTATCGCCGCCAAAAGAAACAACATGACTACACTTTTCGAAACATCAGTTAGCGCCATTTTCGCTACAAAATCTATTATTTTGTTTTCTCTAGGGAAGAATGAGAGGGAGTGTGAGAGTGTACAAGTATTTAAGTGTAAAGAATGGCGGCCATGCTTTATTTTTATATACAACTAAGTTTGTCTTGTAATTGTTAATTACTGTCGTGTTAGAAGCTAAAGTTAAAGTCAAGAGGAGATGCAACTAATATTAAGGTAGTTGAGAACACCCTAATTCAAGTTATATGTGCAAAAGTGAAATAGATCAAAAGTAACAAAGAAAAAAAAGAGCATTATTGAATGTCCAAGATTAATTAATTATTTGAGGGTAAGCCACCAACTTAAATATATGATTTAGATAATTAGTTAAGATTATGAAGTAGTACAAATTTTGAGAAAACCTTCAAATTCTTCGTCGTTTTGTTGTCTGAGGATCATGTGAAAAAAGGTTATTGAATCACTGAAGTATCACTGACTAATTAAAGTTGAATTTTTTTTTTACTCCATAAAAACTTACTTTTACTTTAGTGCTTTTATTTTGCATGAAAATATGATGCAAATGAGTTAAGTTTAAGACAAAGAAGAGTTGTATTACTTTCAAATTTTCAATATGATTAATATTGTAATATACTCGTGTTAACTTAAGAAATTATGTCCTGACTCATGAGTATTCAATTCGCACTCAATTCGAAATAAATTTTCGTTGATACTACTCCATAGTAAGGTGACGATTAAATCTAAGTAGATGTAAGATATTACGGAGTAAAATTTAAACTTTAGCCATAATTTAAGATTCTATATATATTAATACATAATGATTTTCTTAACATCTAAAATATTTCATTGTTTTCACATCCTCAACTTTACCACCTCATAATCATGGGATGGGATCTATAACTTTTTATGCAAGATAGGGTTTTTTAGTGTAGTTGAATAATATATATACTAACATATATACAAAATATTAAAAACTGTTCATAAGAAAGTACAAATATCACAGGACACGTTTTTAATATTCACTCAACTATGAACGTTATTTTTGTATCAAAAAATAAGAGGGTGAAAAAAAATGATGAGTAATTTTTAAAGATTAAAAATGCTTAATATAGATTTTGAATCAAAGATAAAAGAAAATTAAAGTTAAAAGTCTCACCATCTTGTTATCTATTAATTCTTCTTTCAAAATTAACTCCAAATTTCAAATATACCTAATTTGGATTTTGGATGTATATTTTGTGTTATTATTTTTCATTGGTTCATTAATGTACCAGCTAAAGGCACCAATAATTAGCATTCTTTCTTTTCTTTTCTAGACAGGAAAGTTAACAAAGTAAAAGACGTACTATTATGGTGAAGAAACTAGTACTGAGCTGAAAATATAGATTCCCAAAAGTAGGTCACCTGACTGCTCTGCTAATGGAAATCAATCCTGCTGTTCCTATCATATTCATCCTGCTACTACTACAAAATTCAATTAGACTTTAAGAGAGTAGAACTATTCAAACATACTCGTAAGAGTTTTATCTAGAAGCAGCCCAAATAGAAGTCGCTTTCGCTATCAATTTTCTTATGCTGTTAACTTTTAGAGATGAAGGAAAGAAGAAAGAAATGAGAATGAATAATATGGCCAAACTAATTAGTTGTTAGACCATGGTCATCAAAGCGAAAGCCGAGAACTTGCACAAAAAAACCGGTGCCAATGGATGGAGCCAGAAGCATAGAAGTTCCACACTACGAGTACTTGTTAGGATCATCATCTATCTTTAGTTGTTTCATTTTCTTAATTATGCAGACAAAAAATTTACAAGAACAAAGTACTTGTTAAGCAGAATTACTAAAATACTGAGCCAAAAAGATTGAATGGCAACATTACCAGTGCATATACTGCATGTATCCTCAAAATGGGACAATTTTTCAACCTAAATCATAAAATTGTTCAAAGTAATAACATCTTTCTCAATAAGCACTTTCTTTTAGATGGCAATATGAAGTCTGTCTATAACAACTACAATGAACCTTATCAGGTGTACAACTCTGTATCAAGCAGAGGATTCTTAAGCCAACTAGACTTCATCTCATTTTCATAGCTTGAAGAAGAGAAATCAAAACCAGGCAAGATATCCTTTACCAGAAGAGATCTAACCAACTGCATCACAGGTACACCATAATCAGGCCAGGAAATGCACAAAATACCTCGGATATTCCTGATCTGGCATCGAGCCAAAAGAGCAGCAGCAAGACCGTCCACCACACTTCCTGATGGGAAGTAGTCCATGTCCTTCAGAAGGGAGGGTCCACTAGAGGCTTCACCAGAACCTTTTCTTTCCGAGGATGTCTCAAGCTTGTAGGCCACAGTATCATCCCTTGATAACTTCCCACGAAACTTCTGTATCTGAACAGAATCTAAGACCAATACCCTCTCTGGAACAATCTTTTCAGCGAGAAACAGTTTTGAAACAGTGTGACATCTCTCTGCAGGTACATTAAACTGGACACAAACAAGGAGGACTAGCTTTTCATTATCATTTAGTGAGTAAATATTGCAAGATTTATTCTTCAAAGAGGGCGCAATGGTGTTTCCGGAGAAAGGAATTTCAGGGAGAATGAGTGTTCCTATGAGTTTTTTAGAGGACACATGATGAAATATATGAAGAGATGGGGGTGAAATGGCAAAGATAAGAAGTGAAGGACGAAGAGTTTCATTAGTATAAGGATCTGTGAGCACGATGAATGGAGTTGGAAGTGAAGGAGATGGAGGGACAAAGATGTTGAGATCCTCGTCAGAGAACCTTGAAGGTGGGGGAATGTCAGTCAGCACATCATCCATGCCTTATAAAACTTGAAATGGTCACCCTGCAAATTGCAACATTGGAAAGTTAGCAAAGCTCGAAAACTTAGTGGCTAAGGGATTTAGCAAAGTAATTAATAAAGCACTAAATTTATAGCATAATTCAGATTTCAGAAAGTAGCAATGGTCATATAATAAAGATTAATCATTCCCTTTTGCTATAATAATCCCTCCAACTGTTAAAAAAGTATACATACTATATAAAATAGTTGCCTTTGCTAAAATAGTACTCTCATTGTCAACTTTTATTCAAGTTAGAAATAAAAAGAATAAGCAAACATAGCTTAAATTCTGTTTCACACCTTTATTTTCTTACTTCCACCAAATCATCATTTAATCTGTACTCTGTAGCATTTTAAAATTACTGACTTCATACATTACCATAGACATGCCTGAAAATTCTTTGACAAGGTTTAAAACTGGAAAACTTCACAAATAGTCATTTGATGAAGTATAACACAATAAAGTTCATAATTTCCAATACCCTTTTCTTTTGTTTTATCTGAGTGAACATATCAGGGTTCAGGGCTGGTGAGTGGTGACTAATAACACAGAAGATATAACCCAATACCTTAACTACTGTGAATGCAAAACCTAGTTGTTTGGTTGACCTAGGCCCCGGAGAAGAAATACAGCCAAATAAACCTCAATGACTCAATCAATAAAGTGTATTCTTGCAGTAAGCTTTTGACTCCTCCTTGGAAATCTCAATATTATTCTTCACGTCCTCAATCAATCAAAACCTTAATCACATAAGTGGGGTCGGCTACATGAACCAAAAATGATTATTCCGTAATCCGTATAATCATCCACAAAAATCTTTCTCCTTCATCTCTTACGATAAAATGCCTCATGCTCATGCAAATTCATATACTTCATATCCTTCCTAACTCCTTCCAAACAAATCATTTTCGGTCTCCCTCCCCCTCGTTTAACCCCTCCTCGGGTCTCCGTCGTACATGCCCAAACCAACGCATACAATTTTCCCTTAGTTTGTCAGCAATGCCTACCACACCCACTTTCTTGCGAATAACCTCATTTCTGATTCTATCTCTTAGAGTGTTTCCGCACATTCATCTTAACATGTGCATTTCCGTAACCTCCATCTTTTGAATGTGCTCCTTCTTAGAAACCCAACATTTTGTACCATAGTAGAGCATTGGTCGTATGACAATCCCGTAGAATTTCCCTTTCAACTGTAGGGGAATGCTACGGTCACATAACACTCCCGTGGCTGCTCTCCATTTAAGCCATCACGACTTAATCTTGTGGGTCACGTCTTGATCAATGTCACCATTTCTATGGATGATCAACCCAAGATATTTAAAACATTCACTCATGGTCAAGTTCTTTCCGTCCAAGCTCACTACATCATTGTTTGTCCCCCGCTGTGTAACAAAGCGACAAACCAAATATACAGTCTTACTCCGACTTAACTTAAACCCTCTAGATTTCAACCTTTGTCTCTATTGCTCCAATTTGGCATTAACCCCATCATTAGTTTCATCCACCAAAACGATATCATCCGCAAACAACATACACCATGGAACCTCATCTTGAATATCTATATCTTGTCTAATGTAACCAGTATCCATTCTGGTTTGATGGCAGCCACCCAGCCATATTTAAGGGGTATAAACTATAAAGTCATGACACACAAATTCTTAATCTAAGAAACTCATAAATTCTATAGGCAGCTTGTGTTCATATCTATAAAAGATACTCTCTATATTGTAACAATAACTATCTAATTTCAACCATCTTAGAAAGACATTATATCTACAAAAAAATTGGTTGGGGCACTTGTAAGGAAGAGCAGTAAACTTGTGCAATTTGTTTAGAACAGCACCTCCACCCAATAGGGATAAATTTGCATATATTATCACATCCCTGGACCTTTTCTGCAATCATAACTTCATCAAACTTTGCGGACGGTGAACCTTGTGGTTAGTAATGCTGTAGCAAAAATAACCAAGTGAATCTCCCATACATCCTCTTTTTCCAACAATTCTTGTAATTCTCATCAAAATTATATGCCCTTGAAGTTCTTTGTTCTATGATTTGCAGCTTAACAAACCTAATATCACAGCCTAAAGTATGATCTTTTTGACTTATGTCTCATACTTATCTCATTAATTAATTAATATAAATCAAGTACCTAGGCCCTAGGGAACAGACTCTTTGCCAGTGCAGACTGCACACGTATAATCCCCTACTACATCACCCTGGTGGATGACTAGAAGCCTATTAACAGGATTTGATTGAGAAAATTCTGTCGAAAAAATCAAGTGTACTAGAGCAACGGAATCTGTGAGCAAACAGATACCACCCTCCAGGCCTACAACATCCTTGACCACTACAGTAACACTAGACTTGCAACTGGCAATGCATGTTGTAACCTGTGAAACTTTACCATTACATGCAAGACAACAGTAACATTCATTGTAGCACATTTGCCACTATCATCCTCACCAGGGATATCAACAATGAAATCAATACTGGTTTTCTCTCTTTTCTATTATGCTTTTTATTGTGTGTGTACAAATCAATATGCTCCTTATAACTTGATCACCCTCATCAAAAAAGTAGGAACACACCAACAACACTCACTCCAAAAGTAAACACAAAACGTGAGATCATTCATTGTAATTATACTCCTTAATTCAACGCGACTAGTGAAATAGACAGACAAATAATAACTCCATACCTTCTAAAACTTCATCTTCAACGCTTCTAAAATTTCTTATTCCTCCTCTAAACCACCTCATATGGAACCTAATCAAAGGCGTATATCGAGATTTGGAAGCCTTAGGCGGGTCATTTCTATTAACTCTTAATTTCATTTCAAACCCTTTATTCTGTCATCAACAGATTCCAACATTTTACTCTCAATGATTAAAACCAGGCCCGTCCCTGAGGCAGGGCAGGAGGGGCGGCCGCCCTAGGCCCAGGGAAAAGAGATTTGATTTCATATTGAATTATCTACAAAAATACATAATTTTAGGGATATTTGATTCAATAATCAAATTACGCTCATAATTTTCTTTTCTTTTGGATATGATGTTTCATAATCTAAGAATTCACGAACCCTAAACTTAAAGCACATAATTAAATTAGATCAGATCAAATATAAACCCTAAATTGTGAAATTGATATGATGATAACAACAACAAACAACTTACCTTAGAAGCTGCTTCAATGGGGGATACAAGAATTAGATTCAACGGAGAACGCTTCAATGGAGAACGTTGAGTGCACTTCAATGAAATAACTCAGAGAGGTAGGAAACAGGAATGGAGGCCTTTAAAAGCCATGACCCGCCATAGTTATAATAGGGGTTAGATCCGTCTGATAAAAAAATGATTTAAATATTTTTAAATATTTCCGTACACGTATCAATTCTTTTAAGTTTTTTAGAATTTTTTTTTTAACAAAAAAAAAACAGCTGAAATAACATTAGTTAAACTAAGTTTACAACAAACGAAAGGATAGTAAGTAACATAAGTTACTATTGGTATAAGAAGCCTTACACAATATCAATTAAGATCATTAACGATATTTACCTTTTAGCTATTACAACGAGTGAGGATAATGCATATAAGGCTTACCAATATACATTTAAACATGCGATGAGACTATTGATAAAATGAGGGAAGTTGGTGATGATGTTTTGTTTTGTGCAAGGTAATTTCTAACATACAATTAAAAGTTTATGAATGTTGCTGAAATGACGAAGACAACCCAAAATCAGTATGTCTTACCCTAAGGAACCCCAATAATTCAAATGGATAAAATCCTTTTGAGATTTATGCTTCATACATGTCAATCACATTTCTTTGTGATCTGACAAAACCATATCTTATACTCCTTCCGTCCCATAATATAGTTTCTATTGTGTTTTTTTCACGGTATTTAAGAAATGGGAGGAGAAGTGGAAAAAAGCTAGACAAAAGTTAAACAAAAGTACAAGGCAAGTGGATAATTTAAGGGGAAAAAGGTGAAAAGTACAATTATAGACAAAAATTAGAGTAAGAAAGTGAAAAAAGTACAATGCAAGTGGATAAGTTAAGGGTAAATTAGGAAGTTCAATGAATAAAGTAAAAAATAAGGGTATAATGGTTTTTACATACTATTCAAAAATAGGAACAAGAACAACATTTTGGGTTTCTAAATAGGAAAACAAAAACTATATTGTGGGACAGAGGGGGTATATATTCTCATACAAGGTCATGATGTTGTAATGACTTTTACCGATATCAAATACAAATAGGTTCAACAACTCCTACTACCATCCTCCTTCAACAAGGGTTTATGTAAATCTGAAATTGAAATTTTGCTACATCTCCCAACAAACATAAGTAACTCCACTTCCATTAAAAGAACACATTTTTATTAAAACTAAAGAGATTAAAAAGGGCAATTCCAAGAGTAAAACGACTCCATTTCATCCTCTAATTAACCCTGAATTCGACTTGTCTTCGTTTTTCGAACTATTATATTGGGTGCTTTCAAAATCTAAGTTTTATTTTTTAGAAAAATTCACTTTAATTTATTAATCCGAACTTTCAGCGATTTACTCTCAATAATCCCAACTTACATTTATTAGGGAGCACTATGAACTTTTGGGTTGATTTTCTTCCACTAGGTCGATTTACTAGTGACTTAAGGAAAGGGTGATTTTTATTTTGTAAAAGTCATGTGTGATGTGTCGCAACATAATTGGTCCAAATTTATTTTGCAAAAAAAGAAAAAAAAATAATTAAAAACCCTTCCCAGCCAGCCACCATCCTTCGTCCCCTTAGCCCCAACCCTCAGCCTGACCGAAATTCGACCGCCCACCTCCCCTAGCATCCGATAACAGTCGGTCGGCCCTTCCCTACCCCTAAAAACACTCGAGCGACCCACCTACACCATCAAAATCACCCCCTTTCCCCTATCCCAAAATAGCTCATCCCTTCTCAGGTCGATGAAACCGCCCACCTCCCTTCCCTCGTCGTTGAAACGACCGATTTTTTAGCTCCCTCAATTGGAGATTATTGCCAAGAAATTAAATGTAGTTGTGTTACTCAAGGTTTTTGTGGTAAATTTTTTTAGATTTTTTTTTTTACAAAAAAAAATAAATAAATAAATGGTAGTTGTTCTCAAAGTAGTCATTATAATGGTAGTTGTGGGTAAAATTTTCTTAAATTTTCACAAAATTACCATATATCTAAAGTATAATACTCCCTTCGTCGCTTTTTATTGGATACGTTTTGACTTTTACAGGTTTGTCAATACACTTATTTGATTATTATTCATTACATACTTTTTAAAATTATAACGATTGAATATTAATAGAGCATTCGTTGAGACGAATTAAACATGATCTCACATGACTCTTTTACTTTTGTGAGTAAATTTGAAGATTATCTAATACTCCCTCTATCCCAGAATACATGACACAGTCAACATTGCACACATGTCAATACACTACTTTGAATTTATTTGTATACAATTAAATATTAATGAAAATTGTTTTTAAAATTATATTTTGAAACTTTATATATATACCTATTTAACAACATATTTTATGATAAAATATGTTTTTATTATGTTAGTAAAAAATTAAGATCAAAACTAATACATAAATAGTGAAAAAAGTCCAACGTCTCATATATTTTGGGACGGAAGGAGTATTATGAATAATGTTTAAAATCTAAACATAACCAATAAAAAGAAACGGAGGGGTACCCTACAAAATTAATCATCCTAAAGTTTTTGTCAAAAAAAAAAATCATCCTAAAGTAATTGAAATACTTTAATATACATTTTGTTGATACATAACATTATTTTACCTTTAATAATTTTGATCGTATATTTATTACAATTAGTTGATACTATGAAATTTCATACAATATATCAATTTTTTTGTGCATATTATTTATAGAATTCAAGTCAATCTCCTAAAAAATTATGCTGATTAAAGTGATGCACACTTTAAAAACTGGAGGGATTATTTTTCTTGCATTAAATGTCTGAATTTATCATAAAATGATCTATTATTAGTACTGTCAAAAACCGAACCGATTCAAACCGATCCGAATGAGAACCGAATCGATTAAAAACCGATTTTTTGAAACCGAAAACCAATCCGAACCACATTTTAGTAAACCCGAAACCGAACCGATCCGAGTAACCTTAAAACGTTTAAGAACTGAACCAAATCTAAACCAAAATGAAAGGAAACCGAACCGAAAATGAACCGAACCGTTTCTAACCCGAAACCGTTTGAACTGGCATAAAAACCGTTTACACTGAACCATTAACAAACTGCCAACCGTTTGCACCGAACCGTTCATAAACCGAACCGCTTATAAACCGAACTGTTTATGAACCGAATCGCTTATAAATCGAACCGTTAACAAACCACTTGCAGCAACTCATCAAATCATGATTATGACACTATTAACTAAATGATCAAATACGAAGCAGATAATAATCTGATAGTAAACAATAATAAATTAATGCACTAAACTTTTATAATCTACTTCGTAATAAACTAGTAAGATCAGTATGGCTAAACTTGAAACATAACGTGATATGTATTTATAAAATTAATGAGAATTTGCATATAATATGATGCCTCAATATGAAGTGATGAAGTCTCGGCTTGATATAAAACTTGTTAACTAGCAAAAAGTTAGAAAGTAGTATAAAATTTCAAACCAAAACTATTTAATTGTCCGTATCCAAACTACTCGATAAAAAACCGATTTTTTGAAATAAAAAACAGACCCGAACCGTAATTTAGTAAACCTGAAATAAAACCGATCCAAATAATGTTAAATCGTAGAAGAACCGAATCCGTTAACGAACCGAACCAGTTATAAACCGAACTAAAATAAAACTAAACCAAAAAAGAACCGAACCGTTTCTAACCCGAAACTTTTTGAACCGGGATAAAAACCGTTTACACCGAACCGTTAACAAACTACAACCTGTCTGCACCGAACCGTTTACTACCCTGACCGTTTACAACCCGAACCGAATTTAAACCGGGATAAAAACCGTTTACACCGAACCGTTAACAAACCGCAACCCGTCTGCACCGAACCGTTTACTACCCGGACCGTTTACAACCCGAACCGAATTTAAACCATTCAAGAATAAACCGAAACCGAATTGAACCGATAATTATTTGAACCGAACTGAAACCGGCTCGTAAGACATTTGAACCGATTTCAAACCGACCCCATTTCAAACCGAACTGATTTCAAACTGAACCGAAACCAAACTATCAAACCATTTTGACAGTACTATCTATTATAAAATGATTTATTATAATGGTAGTTAAATAAAGATATCTTAATGAATGTTATTTTTTTTATAGGAATAATTTATATCAAAGTTATCAAAATCGAGATTCCACTTTGAATTGGAAGGGATTTAGATGTGTATGTGTTACTAATGATAGTAGTTGTCTCAGAAGTTTTCCTACAAGTTTTTATTTCTCACATGAGAAGGTTTTTTCTTGTTTTAGGCTTAGAATATTTTAATTATACAATTTTATTTTGACAATAATTATTTTTACAATATAGGAGAATTCGAGTGAGATGATTTTTAGTGGTTGTGACTATTCACCATAATTTTATTTGGTATGTATGCATGTATGAATTTTAATATTCGCATAATATCATATTAGGTATTTTATATACTTTGAAATTTGAAGTGACATTAATATAAGAAGATTATGATTCTTTGATTGTTTGATAAATTCTATTTAATGACTTGTTTACAAGCATGATAAGAACTGATAATTTAATTATGACATGATACATTTAGTAAGGTGAACTGAATCATGTAATTATATAATTATAAGTAACAAGAAAAAATTAATGTAACCTTAATTCAATTTTATAAGAAAGAGCTACATTTATTATTTATGAAACATGATTATTATATATTTCTCACACATATTTATAGATTGGGACAAGTAAGTAAATTTAATACTCTTTCATAGAATGAGTTGAGTCAAAGAAGGATTCCAATGTAAAAGTGTAATTATGCACATTTTGTGTGTGTCATAACCATGTAATAAATTGATTAATCGCAAAATTAAGGGACGAATGCAATAAATTATTACATATAACTATTTAAAAATATGATATTCTAACGGATAAATCACAAAAGAAATTCAAAAGAGGTGTGGAGGTACCATTCTCCGCATCCAACCCGTCCCATTGCCATCCCTAAATCCCTAATTACCAGTATGCTTACGTGTATTAAATAAATAAATAAATTACAAAAAAATAAAGAGACATGTCAATTTTTCATGAACAACTATTATATTTAGGAAATGCAGGAGTATATTGCCTTT